TATATATATATATATATATATATATATATATATATATATATATATATATGGAAATAAGTAGATGAATAGACGTGTAGGCCGATTTTTATGAAGATACGTAGGAAGATACATTCGGACATCTATGCTATGTGGGAAGATAAGTTTGTAGACGATGCTATGTAGGATGATAAGTTAATAGATTGACGCTATATAGAAAGATGAATAGGTAGATCGCTCAGTATAAGAGTACAGAACGATAAAGTACAATAAAATACAATACAGCACATTCACTAGAAAAGACGGAAAGATACCTCTAACAACACACTTACCTGACAAATAAAGTTAAAGATATCTTTAACAACACACTTACCTGACAAATAAAGTTGCATTTGTAGTCGCAGGGAAATGTACTCCATTCATTAGACTCTTTTTGAGAAAGGGCCATGCAATAGTCACCTGTTAAATACAAATTAAGATGCTTACATATACAAAATGAGAACATTAAATAAAGGCAGTTTAATATTAGTCTGCCTGAAGCTATATACAGAAGAATGGCACCCATGTAATTGTGATTATATATCAAATAGAATGGTGCTCGTTGCAAAACCCAAATTGCTTGTCATGACGATTTAGCAGTGTGGGCATACAGCTCTCAACAAGATGGCCGCAGCACTGTTAACATGCACCGTGGAAGAGTAACGAGACCAGTTGACCCTGGAAGGGTGATGTGATTAACATCACTCAGGCCACCGTTACTTCCCATGACATACCAGATAAGAGCCAATGTCGTGTAGGAAAAGAAATCAAAACGGAGCATTGGGTCTCATCAATCCTAGTCATCGCATACTAGAGAAAACGATGTTGGAGGATGTGGTTTCTTGAAGACGAGGATTAGACAAACCAGCACTAATGTGTATACAAGACACTAAAGATGTGATAGCTATGAAAGGAAAGAGAGCGACGTTCTGTGAACTACCTGCTGATTAATGAATGTATACAGAGGAGCACAACTTGAAAGCCTCGTGATGGTAGGAGGCTGCTGCGAAAATGAGGCAGAGGGTGACCGACACGGAAGAAGCTGGACAGTTTAACATCATGGCATGGAAGATCATCTGTGTCAGAAAAGAAAAAAAAATAACAGAACATTGTGGATAGACATGACTACTAAAGCACGCAGCATGGACTATCACAAAACTATTTGCATTATGGACGCAAAGATATTGAAATGCTCTTTTAGGGGGTTACTACAATAAAAAAATTTTTTTTTTTTTTTTAGTGTGAAACCAATTATTTTATAATGGTCATTTGTAGGGATATATCTAAAAAAAAAAAAAAGTAGCCGCCATCTTGTAAAAAACAAATGCACGTAGAATCATAAAATATAAAAAACAAACATGGGTATTGAAAAAAAGACCTTATTCTGAAGAAATTCTATGTCATATGGGTTCTGTTATTTGCAAAATACTACATGTTTTTCTTAGAAATTAAAAATGTAGCTTTGTTAAACAATGTTAAAAAAAAAAAAAATATAGCATCATATAACAAAAATCAACTTAAAAAACACTCATAAAATCCACTTGTAAATACACATGTTTCTAATAATATCGTTGAGGGAGAAGCCACAGTAAATTTATGATATTTGGAGTGTAGATTTTACGACACACAACAAACAGAACATAAGAGTTTGAGACAACAAACTGCCTTTTGACCACGATGTTTTTTTAAATCCTAAAAACGTGCATGGTATTGTGTCTTTAGTATTACCTTTTTAATGCTTTAATGTTTACAAATTACATAAACTTTGTGTGTCATTCTACGAATGCCGAATTTTTCAAAAACGAACATATTGAAAAAATGATTTTTGTGGGTCATAAATTGAAAAAAAAAAAATATGCCGTGTAGTGACCCCCTAACCTTTCATATTTCTTTCCACTTACCGGGTCCCAAGTTGTTGGGTTGTCCAGGTGCCCAGTCAATTATGTCATTGATGGGCTTTCCGGAACTGACCCAACGCCAGGTGCCCCCTTTGTTCCCGAGTGAACCAATATGTTTAAACACATCCACACCACCCATCCAGGTACATTCAGCTGAAAACACACAGAGATTTCAAAGCAATGTTTCAACCCTGCAAATGTATGTAAGGCCAACAGAAGTAAATGGCATCACAACAAGCATGTCGTAAAAGTCACTAACTGGGGCCTTCCGTCGAGGTCGGAAAGTATCAGCCTGAGAGTAAAGGAGCCAACAGTCTACATACAAATAAGTCAGATCTGCAGAACTCGATGTGTAGGCAACACTCAAAATCTGGAATAAGAGTAAATTCAAGTGGCGGATGAACAACCAGAACTTTCCACAGGAGTTTACAGCCGATGAACGAGAAGAAGACAATTATACTGAGTTGAGTTGAGTCAAGAATTGACATCACAGAACTCGGGGCATTTCCATGTATGCTCCGTCCTTATCTTCAGCAGCCAGCACAGAGTTCCAGTACTGATGGTACCGGTCACAATCTTGTTATATGCCCGTCTTACCTTTTCTCTGAGTGTAGTCAGCTAGCCAGACCCTCTGGTTACACCCAGGTGCCTCATTCTCTCCAGGTAATAATATTGTTCTTTCTCTACTGATTCCTTTGCTAGTTCCTAAAGGGCCTTGACCACATCTGCCTTGTCATCTACAAATTCACCACCCAGTGGTGCAGATCCAGCCAATCTCTCCAACTGTTCATTTCTCACCACGCCGGCATGTCCGGGAGAAAGGATCCAAAGTATTCTCACTACCCAAGACCTTTTCAGCGAAGAATGCCACTCTACTCGAAGCATCCGTTTAGACCAAAACTATATGCGAATGCATACTATTCTTCTTCTTCTTATAACCCCCGGCGTGTTGTGTTGGTTGTCATGTTCATCAATAACCTTCTGTTTCATTTACTTTCAATCAACTCTGACCCAGATGAACTTCAACACTTGTGGACGTTGGTGGTCATGTCTATCCACAAGCTTTTGTTTCAAGTACTTTCAATATAATATAAGAATAAACTCACAGGGAGCAAGTACAGCGGGGATCTACAGTCATCAGTAGAAATTATCCTCTTTCGACACACGTTTCGGCCCACGATTCCTAAACGTATTCGGAGGTGGGCCCACCTGAGTTCATGAAGCTCAGGGCTGCTTCCCCGCCGCACAGAATTACCGGATGGTGTTATACTTTCGGCCAGAGACAAGACGACTTGGTGGTTTCGAAGGAGGTACTGTGAGATAAGAAGCCGCCACGGCTGCGTAATTAGAACAGGTCCGCATGCCTGGACGACCGAGCGACAAGCTTACTTTGGTTTACCGGACACGACACATGTTGGACTTTTATTAGCAGTTGGCAGAGGAACACTGGCAGACAATTCGTACACGATGGACTTTCGAAGGGAATGAAAACTCTTTTCCACTAGACAACCCGGACCAGCTCACCGAGGCCCTTCCCCTACGTTGTTGCGCTGCGTCCAAGCCAGCTGGATGCCCTTTCGGCCACCTCACCAAGTTTTTTGAGTGCCCGTTTCCGTTCATTACCGCGCAAATCCTAATTCTTTCACCACATTGTAGAGAGCGAAGTGGAAACGAGGCCTCTCGCTCCCACTTCGACGGCAAAATACCCGCACTGTGGGTAAGCCTGTTTCTCCTCAAACCGCTGCTAAATCACTGTACTTTTCGGGCTTGTA